ACAGTAAGGTAAACAAGGAAAAATGTGAACTGGTGAACACAGGTAAAGGAGATGAAGGAGTTCCCTGAATTATGTTCACAACTTTCTGTGAGTATAGTAACATCAAAATCAAAAGTTACCAAAAACTTAACTCTTTAAAAGTAAAATATAAAGGTAGTAAATATTACCAGTATGCCTTATAAAAAAGGTTGCTTTCCATTTTCTACCTAGTGGTGGGTACATTTTACTGTTTGTAAATGTTATGTCTTAAAATAAAAACCTAACTGAACGTGTTTGTAGCTTTGAAGATGCACAGGTTAATCAAATGTCATGATGCTTTGCTACATGTGCAAGGATTCAGTAAAACTCATCAGTAGCACTGACCTGAAGCTCTAGTTGACAATTAATGTTTCAATTAATGAACGTAGGAATTATTATCTTTACTTTTTAACAAACATGGCTGATTCCAAATCAGATCAACTTATTCTTAACAACTGAAAGTCAATGAAACTCTCGTGAATTTCAACTAATTCAGTCAGGTTTGTGTCAAATCAGGTTTGAACGGGACCAGACCATGTGAAATGAACCTTTCCAGTTTGAACAGCTCTCACCAGGCACAGCAGAGCAGGTGAGAGTCTGGGTTTGGCGAATCAATAAAACTTCCTCCTGTGTCACCTCTTAGCTGTTCGTCCTTGAGGAAGTTAATCTATCCGTTCAAAACCTGTCTCCTCAGCTATGAAATGAGGATAACAGTACTTTTCTCATTAGACTGTTGTATAAATTAAGCCACAGGATGTATGTGAAGCCTTAGAACAGTAACTGGCACAAAGCGTGTATCCAGTAAATACTGACTGTTCTTGTGTCTTCACCTGAAGCGATCGCATTAAGTTCTGCCAGCCTCAGACTGGCTAGACCGGGAATAAAGATGACTTGATTGACAGCTGACAAGGAGGTCCCCTTTCCGGGCCCAGTTCCTTCCCTACGTAAGTCTCCCTCCTGCCCACTCCCAGTTTCCTCCTAGAATTCCTGACTCCTCCTTCCCCCCTTACATCTGACTCCAAGCTCCCTGAGTGAGGATGGCGCAACTGGAGCCAGTTACCCTGCATGCAACTGCTCAGCTTCTGTTTGGTTCCCTGCCTCGCTGGAGCCCCCCGAGTTTCCCATAAGGCAGAGTTTCAGAAGGGGAGAAGCCACAGTGACTTGACTCGTGTGTATCTTTCTTTTTTTAAAATTTATTTTTAGAGAGAAGGGAAGGGAAGAGAAGAAGAGAGGAGAGAAACATCGACGTGACTGGGAGGGAATCGAACCAGCAACCTTCCGCCTCGGAGGACGCCACCCAACCACCTGAGCCTGAGTGGTCAAGGCCTGCTTATATGTGCCTTACCGGAGCAGGGTGCAAACAACTGACATGGATACTTATTTGTGAAGATACACAGGGTTTTCTAACACTTCTTATTACCAGGGACTCATTTGAGAAACTCATTTTCCCCTTAGATCTTGCTAATTCAGACTCTAAGAGTCAACTGGAGCCCAAAGATTATGCCCTTCCTGTTCCGGAACAGTCCCCTGCTGACCATTGAAACCATGGACTCAGCCCTGACTGGCGCAGCTCAGTGGATTGAGCACGGGCTGTGAACCAAAGCGTTGCAGGTTCAATTCCCAGTCAGGGTACATGCCTGGGTTGCAGGCCATGACCCCCAGCAACCGCACATTGATGTCTCTCTCTCTCTCTTTCTCCCTCCCTTCCCTCTCTAAAAATAAATAAAATAAATCTTAAAAAATAAAAAAGATTTTAAAAACCATGGACTGTATTCTGATTCAAATAGAAACACCTTTTTAAATACTTGTGTTAATTAACACATATATGTGGCCCACAAAGCCTATACGGTAGGAATCACTTCTTTTCCCGTTACAGATGAAAAGTGAAGTTTGAAGAGCTTCAGGAACCCCGCCCTCTACCCCCTTGGTCACATGACAAGTAAACGGTAGAACAGAAACTTGGACCCAGGCCTCCCGACTGCGGGTCCTCCCTGTTCCCCGTCCACTCTAACTGGTCACTGACTCCCACTTGCCCCATGTAGAGGCAGCTGAGTGAATGTGGGACCTTCTGCCCTGCCCCTGCCCGGTCTGCTCACCCCGAAACCCTCCTCTGGTGTCAGAGGGGCAGCGGTGCTTGCAGCACTCTTTAAAAAGCGGTGATGGCTTCCAGATGAGCCCGTTACTCTGAATGTGACATTCCTTTTGGTACTTAGAATTTCCACTTTCTCCCGTCCACCCCTTCGCGTTTCTGTAATTAGTAAGCATGCAACAGGAGACTGTTTGCGTCTCAGCACCACTCAGGAGGAAGGCTGTTCCAGCCCCACGGAGTCCATCCTTGTGGAAATACTTTGCAGAGTTTATTTGGACAGGTTCGAAAATAGTCCTGCAACAATACAATCAGATTGTACCACAACAAGTAAAATGTAATTATGGCTTGGTTACATGGGAAAAAATGTAAACAGTGAGGTTTGGGAAAACTAAGCGCAAAACTACATGGATTTTCTCCTCCGTGCCCGACCCCTGCATCTCCCGAGAGCAGGAGTTCAAGGCTGCATCCTCGGAGCTTTGAAGTGGATGAGCGGGGATGACACTCACTGGAGGCGACAGCTCGCCTGAGTGTGTCTGAGGCCGGCCCTCAGAACAAAGGCATGTTTCTGCCTAAGGCAAATGCAGCTTGATAAAGGCTCCCCCAGTGGGTACTTGGAATGCCAAAGTCATTCACCTAAATGAGTTCCAAATACATATTGTTCTGGGCCAAATTACAGTGTCAGGTTCAGACTGTATGTATTTATGTACGTTGGCAGAGCAGGCCTCTTTGGGGGCGCCACAATTTTATCCTCGTATCCTGTGCCCAGCTGGGTTCCCATCTCTCTCTCCCTCTCTCGCCCCCTCACCCCACCCCAACCCCCAAACCCATGAATTTCCTTGCATTTGGTTCCAGAAGGGAAGACAAGAAGCAAAGTCAAAGTTTCACAACCCCACAAGGCAACAGGTCCCGGAAGACTTGAATTTCTAATGAAACTTAGAGTAGAACAGAATGTATGCCTTTGCCAATGAGCTGGAACTTTCTGAAGGTTGGTCTGAGGTGGGGGCAGGGAGTAGGGACAAGATCGAGCATTGTGCTTTGGGCCAGTCTCTGCTAAGAGCTACAAGACAGGAATACAAAGTACCCCGGAATTAAAGCAAACAGCCGCCGCTTCCTCCGGCTGGCCTCTGCCCAGAACTATTTCCTCGCAGTGCTCACCAGTTTCTCAAAACACACGAGCGGCATTTCAAAGATGCCGGGCAAAGGGATCCCTCCAAATAAATGCCCAACCCTGGTAACTAATGGGCTGGAGAAGTCTGACTCCAGCGCCCAGTTCGGCGCCACGGTTGTCCAGCGCACCCAGAGCATTAGTGGATGCAGCCTGTTTTCGGTGTCTCTTTTCGGAAAGGGACCTGTCATTCTTCTCTCTGCCTGAATAAACATGGAAAAACTGGGGGGGAGATAGTAACTTTTAAAGCAAATATGGAGAAGACACGTGTAAGGGACGGAACAGGCTGCTGGGTTATTTTTCTTTTAATTACATGGGCCGTCCTGATCACGCAGCGAACAGGCAGGGTGAAGAACGGGGGGGAGGCTACAGCAAGCCACGGCCACGGCTTCCAGCCCTGGGCACAGGCCTGCTCTGGGCTTTAACTGACCCAGAGAAACGAAGCAGCCCAGAGTGCGGAGGACCCAGACGCTGTGCAGGGTGGAGGGCCACGGCGGCCGCGCCTGGCCCAGAGGCTGGCACACCTTTCCGGAGAGAGGACTACGGTGAGGGCGAGGGAGGGAAAAGAGAGGCCGCACTCCTGCCCTGAATTCACTCACCACAACACTGGCGAGAACGGGCTAGTCCAAGCTCCAGAACCGGGGCCCGGCCTCGCCCCTCGGCCCCCTCCCCTGCCCTGCACACCGCAGCCGCCCTGGTCCCCTCGCAGTTCCCCAGCCGTCGTCATCACGCTGCATCAGGACTCCGAGCCTCTGCGTGGACTGCCTTCCTCTTCTTCCTCGCCTGTCGGGAACGTCCAGGTCAGCTTCAAGCCTCAGCCCGAGTTACCTCCTCCTCCGCCAGGACACCTTGAGGAGACGTGGTGGTTCCTTCTCCTAAGCTCTCCCTGCACTCTGCCCACAAACCTCCTCTTCCAGTGTCAGAAGAGTCTGTGTGTCTGTCTTCCCACCAGACTCTCAGCTCCTTGAAGGAAGGGAGTCTTACCTTTTCACCCACTCAACTCTGTTCGGTAGGTGCTCAATCGACACTTACAGGATAAAGGAACAGGTGGACCAAGCTCTGCCCATCTTAATTTTATCACAAGGAGAGAAATAAGATATGAACGCCTGAGTTCTGGGGTTCTGTATATTTTCAGAAGAAACTGCTACAATACTACTTTTCTGTTCAGCTCCTCATTTCAAGGAAAACCGAAGGAATAAACTCACGGAGGGGCATGAGAAGTGGCCCTTTGGCCCTCAGATTTAGCTGTCACATGAAGACAAAAATCAAGCCTAAGCACGCCCTTCCAGCCAGGTGGGTAAGGCACGCACTCTCCCGGACCCCAGGACGAAGCCCCCCCACCCCGAAGCCTGGAGCGTGTCAAGCTCCGCGGAGCTGCGCAAACCCGCGACATGGCACGGCTGCACGGCGCAGACACGGCCCGCTACCCGACCTGCGCGCAGGAGGCCCAGCGGACACGCGCCCGCAGCCCACCCAGGAGTGGGAACAGCAAGGCCCGGCTCCTCACCGCACTTGTCATCTCCGTCAGGCGACAGAGCAGCGGCCTCCACCCTGACTTACGAGGCGGGAGCTGACCCGAAAACCACACACTAGGCAGGCACGCGGCTGTGGCTTCAGGAAGATCCTCAGAGAGGTCGGGACCGGGCGCTTACGGCAGCGGGCAGGTCCAGTGTAATCCTCGTCGTGTTCAGACACCAAAGGCAAAGAATCGCAGGCAAGGCACTGGGCTGCCTATTTTTGTTTAATTTATTTCTTTTAAGACCACCTCCTTGCAATTTCCAGAGAGAAAATACAAAACAAGAAACAGACTTGGTTTCAAATACATCAACAGTGCGCTGGAGTTTAAAGCATGGCTGGGAACACCGCTGCAGAAGAATGTCGGCCTACTCCAGAGCACGTCGGGTTCCTGAGGAATAAACAGGACTGCTCTCACCTCCCGCTGGGGCGCGCTCGGGCGCAGTCAGTGCTCCTGCTCCTGGAAGGCAAGGCACTGGGGTTAGAGCTGTGCGGGCCGCATTTTCACAACCCTCTCTAACTTGCTGCTGCAGGTCACACCCAAGGGACCCACGGGCCCCAAACCTCACCTGCCCCCGCCCCGCACCGTTTGCTTTAAAACTGTCTCACAGAAGGACTACCACATCCTGCCCAAGCTCCGAAGAACAGCTCCCCAGCTCTTAGGAAGGAGAGTGGGAAAGGAGCGGAGCAGGGCCAAACAACCAGCACCTGAATCAGTCAGTATACTCCTCAGCCCCGCACAGGGGCAGGCCCCAGGGGAGTGGAAGAAGCCTGGCTCTGGAAGCAAACAGCCCACTGACAATGGGGTCTCTGGCAAGTTTCTTAACTTCGGTAAGATTCAGATTTCTCTTCTTCTGCATGAGGACAGGGGCACCTCTCACGGACCTCCTGGGGCCCGGCGAGGGTCAGAGAAAGAACGCAGAGCACCCGGGTGACCCACAGGGCACAGCGGGCACTCGAGAAGCAATGACCATAACAGGACTACATTCGAAAAGCTCCAAGTTGGGATTTTGCTCCTCTTTTTAGAGAATGGAGGATGACAACATCGAGGCATAGACTCAAGTTCAGATAAAGTTACAAGGCCATTTTGGAGCAGTACACACAAGGCTGTAAAAAATGTAACAATATTTTCCACAGTTAAGTCCCAGCCATTAAACATATAATATGCCTATAACCACCCCGGAGCCATTATCCATGGCAACTCAGTTGGGAACGTTTCAAACAATTAAAAGTCCTGAGGCTCCTCTCCCTGTGCCGTGCCGTTCTCCCCCACATTCGGCTGTGGTGCCAATGAGGCGAAGCGCCGGGGCGCGGGGAAACTGCCTGTCGTCAGCGCCGCGCCGCGCAGCTGCGCCTCCTCGCGCTGTCCCTCCGATTACCTCACCCCGGCTCTGGCACGGAAATGGCTCATGAACGTGGGAGGCGGCGAAAGGCCCGCCACCATCTAGCTGGCCAACTCCCCCTGCTCCCCCTCTCTCCAAACACGCGCAGGAGGGTCGGCAGGCAGCTGGCATTCGGGGCAGGTTCTAAGAGAGAGGCTACTGAGCTCTGGTGGTGTGCTGTCATTTAGGATTTGGTGACAGCTTTTGATCGGAATTGGGACACTCATTACTTGTTATTACGATGGAACAATGGACAAGTCAACTGCCCGTTCTTGGTTGGCCTCAACTGTAAGAATGAGCACACCCATTTGTACGAACCTCACCTCCTCAAGCATGCTCACATTAACTCTCACGGCAGCCCAGTGAGTAGCACTCGCTTCCCTCATTTTATAGGCAGAAAAGAGAGTCTCAGAAGTGAACAACTCGAGACTCCTTAGGAAGCAAGAGGCGGACCAGCCTCACGCCCAGGTCCCCTGGCGCCTGCGCTCTTTCCGCTGGCCCCCCGAGGCTGCCCGGATTGTGGGGATTCTCGCTCCAAGGCAACCCCGGAAGTAGATGATTCTGCACAGCTAGCAAATGTGAAGTTCTTCACTGGAGTTTGTATGGCTACAAAGGTTACGCCTCAGTAAGCCTGAGGCCATTAACACCTCTAATAGGGTACACCATTCACTCCATTCATTCATTCCTTTCGCACTGGCATGCCTACTTTGTTCCAGGCCCTGGGAAGACACAAACACGTACACCCCTGGGTCCTGCAGCACCCAGCCTCCCAGGACCCTTCCACTTAAACCCCGTGGTAACCAGCGTCGTCTGCAGTAAGGCGGTGAGGAACGCTGCCACACACGCAATCTTCAGGAAATGTGCCACCTGCTTCCCTCCTGAGGCGAGGACTCATTTTTCGTCTTGTCTGCATCATCAAAAACCCATCTATAGACAAGACTTCGGCAGAATTATGTGGGACATACAGCCAAAAACCTGGCCCTTTCGATCAGAAACAGAATGATGGCTGCGTCCCAGAAGTCTGCAAACTTAGCCCGTGTGTATGTGAGATGCTCACAGGGCATTCTGGGGTCTTGAACAGAAGTGCCACCTCGGGTACTTGTGCACACGGGTCTCCTTCGCCACGACGACACACTGTCAGGCAGGTGTGTCAGTCCAGCCAGGTAACGTGTGAGCGTATGTCTGAACGTACCTGTGCGTCTCAAGGCACAAGGGAGGGGAGAGACTTCGGGCACCAACACAGTGTCGGTGTCGCTAACGGTCAGAGAGCCATCAGGGTCTCAGTGGGGCAGAAGACACACGCAGCTCACTTACTACATACACTACGAAGAAGTCTTCGAGGACTCGGGAGAAAACGCTTTTTCTCTGGGAGGAAAGGGAGGTATCAGCGCAGTACATACTTTGACATACTTCCCATGCAGCAGGTACGGAGACTGGAAGTCGTGCTGGCAGTTGGAGTAGGCCATTCCCAGTCCCATGCCGGAGCCGAAGGCCAGCGGCCACATTCTTCCTGGGGAGCACAAACAGGACACCCGACAGGGCACCACTGTGAGAAGATGCAGCCTTTCCTCTGGCTCGCCTATATGCGCTTAGCTAGGGGCCAATAAATATTCAACATGCCTCACACGGATGACTATACTGGGCCAGATGTTGTCCATGTTTCATCCATCGTCAAAAAAAGGAAGAGGGAGGCTATTAATAAATTTATTAATTTACCAAGTACTTATTAAGTACTTATGCTGCCAGGTTTGAGGTATTAATAATGGTACATATGAATGGTATATAATATAATATGAAAACAGCAGACATAGTTGAAACTTTTAACAACTTCTTATGAGTTCTAATCATATGCTCATTAATTAATTTTTTAACCTTAACAGAAATAATACCACCTTTCAGTAAGGTGCTTGGGTTTTAAAAATACCTAGGAATCTCACCAATATTTCCATGTTTTGACTACAGTTAGCAGTGAGGAGTCCTTAGGCCAACGCTGTGAATGATTATTTCATATCAGCATGAAGTGTTATTTAAGATTCTCTATCTACGAAGTCCCACCGGTTCTTCACGGAAAGAGGGCAACAGCCAAACTTCAGTTCTTCCGCAGAATGAAAGGGATAATGCCTGCCCTTTGCTGAGAAACTTTGGTCAAAAAGCATGTGTATTCCTGGTCCACTTGTTTTTATTACTAACAGTACTCTCATTTTCAAGGTCCTTTCCAAAAAATTATAATTAATTAGAAATATGTGAGCATGCCTACATTTGGCCAAATGACTCACGGACATAAAGGGCGGGCATTTTCAATGACATCATATTTAAGATATGCCCCGGGGGGGTTCTGGAGATGCTCAACCCATCCGACCTCTGCTGAGCCCACGTTCTCTGCCCAGCTAACATGCCTGGGCTGGCAGCCACGCGGCTGCGCCTTCCAGGAGTGCCCCTGCTGTGTGAGTGCAACCAGGACATCATGTTGGAAAGGTGGTAAGAGTCACACTTACTTTTAAAGAAGGTAAGTGAGAAAACAAGTCCTAATCCAAGACCAGTACCTGCGGAGAGGGAGGAACAATGTGTTACACTCATAACAGTAACCTGACGAAAATAAAATGAACACTTCATCAATGTGAATATCTACAAAGGATTTCTCTTTGCAGGAATTTGGTAGAGTTGATTTTCTCGTTTCTAATGTTCTTTCTTGTTGTCAGAGGCTTTTTAGATGCCTTTGGTTCCCCGCCCACAAAAGGGGATAAAAACTTCACTCCCCGTTCTGTCTGGACAAGTCTCGGAGGGCGGGGGGGGACAAGCCAGCAGACCATCCCGAGGAGACGGGCCGCGCCGCTGGGGGACAGCCTCCGGCCCCCTGCGCCCTCCCCTGCCCGTCCTCCCCAGGGATGCCACAGCCGGAGCGCCGGACACACAGCCTCAACTGGACGCTCCTGTTGTCATTCCAGCACTTCGAGTGACAGCTACCTTGTAGGAAGGAAGACCCCAAAGGCTGTCACAAGGCAGAGTGTCCATGTGCGGAGGTTAATCCCCTCCCTCAGTCTACTCACAGGGCGCTTTTAACCACTGTCTTTCAAAATACAAGAACGCACACAAGCCTATTTTAACGGTCTGATTGAAAAAATCTGTAAATGCCTCATTTTAAATTAAACTTCACAGGCACCCAAGCTTGACCCCAAAGGACCAGGCCCTCATTTTCACCATATTCCTCAAGCACTGGTCATCCCAGGGCCACTGCCACAGCTCTGGTAAGCCCACACAGCACCTGTGCGACTATTCACTTAACAGTTTTCTTTAAAACGGAAAAAGGAAAATCAGTGCATGTATGATTACATAACTTTAGCCTCAACTTAAGTATATATTATTGATATAATCATAGACTTGAGTGCTGGCTATATTTCTTTTCATAAGGTGTATTAAAATGAATGTAGCAGCATTAAAATAAAAATATTTGTCTGTAGTACTTTAGGGGAAAAAAAATCAGCCTACATACTGTAGTGATACATGTCCCAAACTTTGAGATACACTTATTTTCCCATTATCCAAAAAATAAACGTGCCAAGGAAGAGAACCAAAACCTAACCTTTCCCCTTCAGATCTGACAACTTTATTTACACCCCTTAGAGCGCACCGACGCTCTTCACCAACCGTCTGTCGCGCAGGCTGAGTCCCAGCTGCCGTCTTTACAATGGAGCACTACAGAAACAGTCCCAGCTCTCACCTGCCTGCGTGGTTTTCCAGTCTGTGCTACTGCGCTCAGAGAGCTGCTTCTCCTGCACCCTGACCGCAGCCGCGCGAACACGCCAAGGGCTCCGCAGCCAACCAGCCTGTCCTGTCCTGACCCAGATGCAGAGACCTAGCGAGCAAGCTAGCGCGTATCTCTTATGATCTAGCTACGCAACAGCGCAGCTGAGGTTGCCTGCAGGAAGTATTTAAGCTAGCACCCGCAATGATTTCTGGTCGTTCTCCCCGACCAGGTATATGTGACCACGATGTACACTTCTTCCTCTGACTGTACACTACATAAACATGAATCCTAATTAAAAACTATTACTTTGCCCTGTCCAACAGACCTAGCCTTATGTACTGATTTGGTGCCAACTTCAATGTGCAATATCTGAAAATCACTCATGTCACCCCAGTTTCCATATAATTTAATAGAACAGTAGAAAACTGGTCAGTTTACAGACCATAATAATTTACCTACTCAAGATCAACATAATGAGAAGAAAAAGGAACTAACATTTCAGTATTTCCCATGAGTCCCCAGCATTCTCTTCCTTCCCAAAAATTACCTGTTAAAGCAAACGACAACCTGACGTGGTGTCATCCCGCACTCCCCGGACGCAGAAAACGGCCGGCTGGAGGACGCTGTCTGGTTGGTGGTAGAGCGGCGGGCTGGGCCCCAGGCTGCCAGACTCCTAAGCCACTACCCCGCCGCACGTCCTGACACTGGATTCCCTTACAGTTTCAGCCGAAACAATCACTGCCTCCCAAGGGAAAGTGGAGTATCAAGATTCCTACTGCCAGCACACTAAGATAGAGCCAAAAAGGAACTGTGCTTCCCATGCAAGAGCCCAGAACGCTAGGCAACCAGGGTAGTAACGAGTCCACACAAGGCCAAAAGGGCTTGTTCAGATTCATTCCCAGACTAATCCGACCGCACATGTCACAGACACAAGTCCGCCTGGTGGGCATGAGTCAAGAACTTCAGAGAAATGGGAGCTATCGAGACTGATACTCCTTGGCAAGAACCTGCCGTTCCTTGGTTCATAAAATGGCACAGGGTTCAATTTCAGAACGGCCTGCCTCACCCCTGTGCAGCTGGAAGATGAGTAAGACAGTAAATTGGTACTAGAGAATGAGGTAAAGGATTTGGACCGGCTCACAGGTTTCAAACCAGGCAATGGGGTGGGGAGGTAGGCCAGTAAAAACATAATGGCTCACAATCAGAGCTTTCGGTCCTCTCCATCTGGAAGGCAATTTTTTGGCAAACAAATCAAAAGCCCCAAAGGAAAATATTTCAGCATTTTTCTCGTCCCTCTGACTCCATGCCTGTCTCTCCTATTTTTCCCCCCGGGGAAAGAAAGCTCTCTGGTGCTCAACTGCTCCCAGCAGCAGACCAAGAACGACGCTAGCCCCCTGCTCACAGTGCCGCGCAGCCACGGGGATGAGACGTGCTGCGGCGCCGAACAGCAGAGAGCAGAGAATCTTTCCTCTCCAGACTTTCCTTACATTCAGGTATATGCCCAACCACCCGGTTCTGCTCCTATAAAAGGCAGTTATCTGCAATTATACACAAAACCAAAGTCACAGTTCCGACTAGCCGAAGTCAGTGTGCTCCACGAGCTTAATTAAATCGGGCTGCTACATCTTCAGTCCTCAAGGGCGATTCCCACCCTCCATTTCCATATTTTTAAGACACAAAACAACAAGGCTATCCTCTTCAGAAAAAAAACATGAAAAATGCTTTTTAGATGCCAGTGTCTTAAAGTTAACTATCTCAGTTACTGAAGAGATGAACAATGGTGGAACTGATGAGTTTCACAGGTTCAAGTTCTCACATGCTCAGTTTTCTTTTAAAAGGCGGCATGTTGCTTCAAAGAAAGTCCCACCTGATCAGGGGACACCAGCTCTGCAGCTGTTTCCACTAAAGATTGGCACCTCTGCGCCAGGTTTAAACTTCATTAACAATAAAACATGAAAGGTTTGTCTTACAATAAAAACAAACCAACATGGAAAAGAGAAGAGTTTTCTCTGCCTCTGGCCACTTTTTTTCTGTTGTTGCATGACAAGCTCCCTTAGAGGAAAAAAGCCAAAGGAAAAAGTACAAAGCATTTTTCACCTTCCCTGGAAGCAAATATTTAACTATGAACACAGTTTATATAACTTTGCCTCCCCCGACTCAAGCCTGTTCTTTTGGTCCATGCTATCTGGAATGACAAATAACCCCGGAGTAAAGAAGTGCCTGATTACAGGTACACATCTCCCTCACAGCAAAGCCCAGTTAAGGGGGGTGGGGTGGGGGCAAGACAGGAGGCAAGCAAAAAAATTTTTTGTAAAAACCCACAACAGAGGAGCCTTATGGAATTGACATTAGGCAAGGAGCCCGTGCTCTGAAACCATTTCTTTTGGAGAGGAAAAAGAATTGGCACAAATTCTTTCAAAAACGAAATTACTCCAAATCAATCTAACCCTGCACTTTAAGGCATGCTTAGTGCCCAAAAGGACATCATAAAACTGGCTAGTAGATATACACACATTTTTAGGAAGGAGCAACTCCCTAACAGTTCATCTGATACTATGTTAATAACAAAACAACAGAGCTCACTCCCACTGACTACACATAAAACATCGCCCTGTCTTATGCCCAAGTGGATTCCTCAACCAACTTAGAAGAGTAACAACTAACAGTGGCATGCCCGCACACACCTTAAGCCACGCTCTGTGTAAAAAGAGGAGGAAAGCTGTGACTCTGACATGTGGACACTAGCCAGTCAGCCGATGCAGCTTTATTCAGAAAACATCTTCGCTCTCACCGGGCCACATGTCATGAAGCTTCTACTTCACTGCAGACAGTTAGCAACCAAACACGATCAGCAAGAATTAAGGAGCAGGCCACATCCTCGGATCACAGTCCTGGGGTAGAAACGCAGTTCGGATGTCAGCTCCTCAGTAAAACAAGCCGGAGGACCACACGCTCCCGCCGCATCAATTCTGTACAAGTGGCAGCTGCCAATGGACTTCCAATTAAGGGGGAATAACTATTGTTTGGAGAAGTGCAGAAAAAAACAAACCCTCGGAAATTCTCTTAGAACACATTCCTCTAACATCTCAGAGGGGGGAAGCCCCCGAGCCCACCTCACTGGTCTATTTGGTATGTTATTTATATGAGAATTCAGGTCTCACTCCAGCTCCCACTTAACACTTCGCACCAAGCTCCTCAATTCATAAGCCTAGTGTATAATAATCAATGCTAAATTGGATCTGCACCCAAAAATTAATTAAAATCACAAAGCAACTCTATTGTAATTTGTATAATAACTTATATCAAGATGCATGGGCAGAAACTTTACCATAAGCAATTGGCAGTTTATAAGTGAGAACTACAGAAATTACAAGCAAGTTTTTAAAATCCTTAGAAGCCATGTGCCAAACAACTTTATTATTTTTTTTAGAATAGAGGTTTTGGTTTTTTTTTTTTTAGATTTTACTTATTTTTAGAGAGAGGGGAAGGGAAGGAGAAAGGGAGAGAAACATCAATGTGTGGTTGCCTCTCAAGTGCCCCCTACTGGGGACCTGGCCTGTAATCCAGGTACGTGCTTGACTGGGATTTGAACTGATTACCCTTTGTTTCACAGGGCCATGCTTAATCCACTGAGCTACACCAGCCAGGGAACAACTTTATTCTTGAGGGTCTGAAAGAAAAAGAAAAGATACAGCTTCCAGAGAATGAGGGACTTACTCTCGGGCAGGGGGGACGGCAGGAACTCTGCTGCTGCAGCCGGACAAGCCGAGGTCACACCCTGTGACTCGGGGCCTGCTA